AGTCGTGTAACATCGACGTTTCCTCCTGTTTAATATTGGTCTTTGCAAAATTTGGTCCTAAAATATTAAACCGTTAGAAGCGTGCATCTGTTTAAATTTCGCGAAAAGTTATAAGTAAAATAGTATTTTATGTAAAATTTTAGATATTAAGTTCTTATATGATACCACGTACAGTTTTGATTTACATAGTATATCGCGCACCTCAATGCTTCATGTGCAACAAAAATTTTTATGGCACAGGATAGGAACAGTCATGAGCACAAAGCGTCAGAAAAATGCTGGCCTACAGGCAGATAACTGACACAAAAATGACCAAAACTTACAGAACAAAAAGAGTACCTTTGTGGCACAACATTTAGATGCCATCATAAAATTGCCTTGTACTTATTTTCTCATAGACACTGGTACAGCACAAGACACTGGTGCTCGGCATAGTGCTCCATATACTGATACAGGAGTACAATTCTAAACGACCTTCTGTATACAGTAATTCTAGCTTAATAATAGATACTGTGAAAAAACCGCCAATTTGGAGGAAAGTGCTGTTGTGATCCTACACTAGCCATCACCAATTGAGCTCTAGCTGATCTCAATTAATGACCTAACCCTTTCTCTCAAGGGACCTACCATTTTCACATTATATAATTATATTGGATAGCTGGCCTGTATTATGCAGGTGAGAAGTTCCACCTGTTAGCACTAAGCCATACTAACTCAATTTTTATAGTGATCCCAATGCAACATTAATTGCATATCTCATTCCAGTTACTGAATTATGGCATTACGGCATTTTACCATGTGGTAGAATTAATATCACAGTATCTGATTGCTGTAAATATTATATGCCATAATGCCATACCTCACGAAAAAAACCTGGCTACTGCACCAATTTTTGTCACAGTAGATTCTCAATTTTGATTGGCTAACTAACGTGATCTATAAAATTTGGCCTATATTACATAATTGTCTAAATGATTTTTGGCCAGAATTAATTTTTTTATTCCAAAAATAGAAATTTTTAGAGAAATAGGCTCGTGCAATGGTAAAATTAGCCCATGAACATTTTTACATAATGGGCATCTGTGGTTTCATTGGACCAGATAGTTTATCTTGAATAAAGATGACAGTTCGAATCCAATTGTCAGTCCTTCTCAGTTAGGATACAATATTCGAAAGTATTATAAGTGTCTTGCTCTAATACTCCTATCATATAAATATACTTTGTATAAAGAATTAGAGCCTCGTGGCATTGGGTGGTTGATCATCCAATAAAATCAAACACACTAGTAGCTGCGCGACGTGGTCGCGCTGAAACCAGGAACTGGATGTGAATTAAGAAAATAAGCAAATATAGTGAAAAGACGGGTCGATTGGTAGGAAGGTGGGTTAGACATTAGATTTAGGTGTAGCAATATATTTAAATAAGGGCATATTTTAGAATTATCATAATAACTACAACTTATATTGACATGTATACATTAATTGACGCATTATTATTAGTCGAACTATTTCAAATTTTAGGGTAGTTTATAAATGCACTGTAGCGTGTATGGCATGATAAAATAACATTATTACTTAGTACCTTGATTTATTTCACATTACATTTTCGTAGATAAAAACTACAAAAAACAAAGAAAAAAAGATCTAGTTTACCTGCTAAATAATGTTTCGAAGCAGAAATTGAACGGTTAAGAATTATTATTAAATTTTATTTAGGAGAGTGCGTTTGTTAAATTTGTTCAACTAAATGATTCAAATAAATTCATATGCGGTAAAAAATTTATTATTTATTTACAAGTTCGTTAAATTTGTTTAAATAATTTTGAAAAATTTATATAGTTTGCGAGTTTATATGTTATTCTTTACGCGAAATCAAACAAGAATTGATATAGAACCTATAGGTACACGAGTTTTCAGTAAAGTTTGTTGGGTATCAATAATTATGATCGAAAAACTTAGTAGATATTATTTCTAACTTTAAAAGGGGGCGAAACCAGGCAGGTGCAAAATAGACAACATAAGACGGATAATGTCATGCCGACCAATCGGGTAATAGATTTTGTGGACGTTGAAAAAGTGAGAGGTGCGTTGAAGTAACTGCCAGGTGAAAATAACAGCAACTCAGCACTCAAAACTATACTAATACTACTATACTACTCAAACCAAACCCTAATAGTGGTAAGGCTTCGAATAAGGCATGAAAAGACTTGGTCCAAGTAATTAAGGTCAAAGAGGCTTGAGAAGGAAGTTCCGGGTTCAGATGAGTGTCCTTTTTACTTCCTTATTAGGAAAATTATGAACTTCTTTAGCACTTTCGTTATTACTTTAACTTTTTTCTTCTTTCGTAGGTACTGCGGTTAGGACTAGTGATTAAATTCAGCTACCGGTAATCGGGTAGGTCGCGGGATCACGTGATTTATTTCAGCATCAGTGGATGCTGAAATACGATTACGTAGGTTACGATCAAAATCGAATTACGTATGTATTGGATTAGTCACTGATGTAATCACTATTTGTTCTATATAAAAGGGGTTGATTACTAATCGTTACTTTTTCTTTACTCAATACGAAAATACTAGTTTCTCGCGGGGACAAGAGATAACGAAAAACGACGATTCAAAGAGAAACGTTTTCAGAAACTACGACTTATACTATACACTTCGAAGTTTTCATATTTCAAAAGCTATGTACTTTTAAATCAAACTCCAAACTGAGTTATGTTTATTTCGATACAAAAGTCATCCTTTTTATAGCTTTTACATTACTATTACTCACAGATCAAACTTATTCACTAAATCCACTTAATTTGCTAAATTTACTAGGTTTGCTTAGTTCGAGACGTTTGATAAGTTCGTTAAATTCACGAAATTCAATAAATCAAATAAGTCAATTAAGTCAGATAAGTCAAACTTTCATGACTTCTGAATAAGGCAATAACTTGCTTCTACGTAGTTTTGGATTTCAGTAAATGTAATACTAACCAAATATATGTATTTCTATATCGAGCTATACTAAAAGGGAAGATAGGATACAAAGATAGCAATGATTGAAGAAAAGAGGAAGAAAGAGAAAAAAAAATAATCATAGTAATATGAAAAAGTAAGAATAACAATAATAAATAAATAAAAATTTTGGAGAGGGCGTTAAGCCTCTTTACAATGTACATCATTTATGGTAAACCATACACTTCGTGAATTTATCACTCCGTCCCTGGTACGTCTAGTCTCATAAAAATTTGCAATATTGCAAAGTTTTTTATTATTAAACATAAATATTTACCCTTTACTTATCTATTTTACAACGTAGCCCTAATATGCAATTTGTATTGATACTAAATATCTTACAATCATATCAATAGAAATACTTTTATTTCTTTTGGTGATGAAATCAATTCAAACCTGAGAACAATAAAATAAAGTTAATAATAAAATACCAGCTTTTTTACTATGTAGTATTCTATTTCTATAACACTAGCAGTATTAACAGGAGGATCTTTCACCCGGTGTGCAACATATAAAAAAATTATTTTACAATACCAGATCATTCCGCTAGTACATGTTATGTTTATAATCCCACACCATTTTTATTATAATAAAATGGTGTGGGATTATAATCATAATATGTACTAGCGGAATTATCTTGGTAGGGTGTTAGTGATGCCTTATTTTTACTAGTATATATATATTTATTATCAAATCTATATTAATAATTAGGTAGCTGCGCAGCACGTGGTGCCGCGCAAGACCAGTACGATCGGCATCAGTAAAGTTTGTGCATATGCATGTGAGTACTCAGGTATATACAGGATTGAGTTATGGTGACTAAAAGTAAACTGGGTTTTTTAAATACACTGCACTGTTATCTCAGTCACAGAGCCATGGAGCCTAAAACAAGGTCTTTGCACTGCTACTGCAGCCGCAAAGCTTAACTGCCAAGGTCTCATACTGTTATTGCAGTCTAAATGCTACAAAAACAGGATGTTACACTACTGCAGTCGTGAAGCCTAATTACTAAGGCCTTTGCACTAATACTGCAGCTCGGAGCCTAATCACTACAAAAACAAAATCCTTGTACTACTGCAACAGCCACGAAGCTTCATAGTTACAAAAATAAAAAGCTAAGACAAAACAGGTCCTTACATTGCTACTGCCTGACATTACACCTTGTCACACAAGTCAACCGTCAAGTATTTAAACTTATTGTGGGTCACAGCACCATAGACAGGATGGGAGGGACGATAGAGTAGCCATCCTGCAAGGCAGGCGATAGGAAAGAGTAATATTAGCTTTTTTTACTAAAAACACCACCCTTAAAATACACTGCATTATATCTTTCTCCCTCCGTTCTATTGGTCTGATTCACGCTTGAAGCCATATGAAAATACTTCTTTACGTTAGCACTAATTTGCTGACATTTATATCTGTTCACCACTTAACTTAACCAAGAAAAACCTGATCTAATGAGAACAACACAGCAAACCATTACAGTTCATAAAAAGCTAATCTAAGTATGTGATCCATAAAGTCATCTGATCTCACAATTCGATGACAAGCTACTCATTATAAAAAAATTGATTTTTTTTTGGTCAAGAACATCTCATCAACGATAATGATAGTAATTGAAAGTTATTAAACATTGATTATCCATTTTTAATTACTAAGAAATATTATGCTCCAGAATAAGGATGGGTTTGGTTACGGTTATAACCATTTAATTGCGGTTATTAACCGTAACCGATACTAGCCAGTCAGAGCGGCCTGACTAATTTCACACGCTCATATTTTCCTACACCAGCACTTAACTCCTACTAGATTTAGATAAATGAAAACCATTACTTATACTAAAAAGGATATTTTTAAAAATCAGCATAGCGAACATTAAAAAGGTTGAATGGAACTATCCCTCCCACATTTCATGTTACACATTCATGTGGTCATACTGGTATTAATATATATTTTTCTATATAATTATATAATTATTAAAATCTAAAATAATATCTATTAATTATATAATTTTGCAACCTTTCTTAATATTTTTCTCCATCCTATTTTTATGACTCCTAATTTTTCAAATTCATTATCAGTTAATTCAGATATCATGTCAGTTGTTATATTTTCATTTTCAAATGCCTCCTTAAAAGATAAATATTCACCAGTATTTCCATATTCACTATCAACTTGTTTAAAAAAATTATCTAATGATGGAATAGATAACTTTCTATTTTGTAAATTATTTGATTGAGACATCAAAGAATTAGAATAAAATTGATTAAATGTTTCTTGATTAATTCCAGTTTGTAGTAACGGATATGACATAGGAATAATTATAGGTTGTATAGGTTGTATAGATTGCATTGATTGCATTGATTGTATAGATGGTATAGATTGTATCGATTGAATAGGTTGTATAGATTGCATTGATTGTATAGGTTGATAGATTGCATAGGTTGCATAGTTTGAAAATTACTTGAAGTATTTGGTGATTTATTATTATTATCACGAGTATGTTGACAATTAAAAATGGGATGAGTGGGTGGTACTTCACTAGAACCAATACCATTTATCTATATATATTATAAAATTTTAATTAAAAAATTTAAAAAATTATTTAATATAAATAAAATACTTACAAACTCTTTGGCCCAAATTGAAAGATGCATTGATGTTAATTTAATATGAAAATTATCTTCAATTAAACATGCTTGTGTATGTTTTGTACACCAGTATTTTTCTCGTAATAAATTTACATATTGACCATGTAATTTTTCAGCTTCAGATAAGCCTGATTCCTTTGGTACAGTTTTTTGTTTTTTTGATTTAACTTTAACTTCATCTGCTGATAACTCTTCACTAATTTCAGTAGCCTTAATAAATATATAATAAGTAATTACATATTTTATATAAAATTATTCAATTAATAAAAATTAATAAAAAATATTTACCTTTTCTTTACGTTTTTTAATTTTTTTTTTTCATAGTAACTATAATTACAAAATTTTTTTTTCTATTATCTGTTTTTTCATAATCTAATATAAATTTTTTAAAATCATTAGCATCTTTTAGCTGTGTTCCAGCACCAGTTGTTTTTTCAAGTTTATATGCAATAAAATAATCATCCATAAA